GTCTTTCTCTGCCTTATTCAACCAATGGGCTGTCATGTGAAAGATATGAATGTTTATTTCTCACTTTTGGAGACAGGGTGTGGATTTTTGTTACATCTGGTTTTTACACTGGAATAACTTCGTTTACTTCAATGGAATCAACACCCAATTTCATCAGTGTGAGAATCAAAATATTGATGGATATAAGAGCCTTAGCAGAAAGCTTTATTTATGGTCAGTGATTAAAAAAAGCAGTACAAAATGTGCTTAGTTCCTGTAACTGTATTAATAGAAACATATCTGATCACTGTGAGGTGAACCATCCTTAAAAGAAAAAAAAGTAGCGCATGAAAATTGAGTAAAGCTAACCATTTAGGGTAAGAGGTGCTAATAAGCATTTGATGTGATGGTCTTTCTGCTCAGTTTTAGTCAAAAAGATGTATGGCCTGGTTTTGCTTTAGAGAGTCATTGACAAAAAGACTGTTGCAGAAGCCAAGCATATAAGCAGTGGTGAGGTGAAAGAAGCATTTGTTGCATTGTGTGTTGTCTTCTGCACAAAAACCTGGAGAGCAAACCAAAAAAGTTGAAGTAAAGGCTGTGATAAAGATTCAAGAAATCTAATGCCTTCAGATGAGGACTGAGAATATTTTCTTTACAGCTTCCTAATTCACTAAGGAATTCATTGAGGATGGGGAGAAGAGTTTAGACTTCAACTATTGTTAATCTAACAAAAATATGAACAGGAAAAGAACAATCCGTAAGAGGTTTTAATACCTCATAAACCGATCTCACCATTTTCCTTTCCAAGTCTCCTTCAACAGAAGTTTTTGATGTGCAGTAAAAACAAGTCAAGCAGTCTCACTGCAGATAAGGCTTCTGTGTGGATTTATAGAAGTAGAGGATGTTCCCTGAGAACCTCAAGTGGTTGAGTCTCCATCCCTGGAGGTATTTAAAAGAAGGGTAGACATGGTGCTCGAGGACATGGTTTAGTGGTGGACTTGGCAGTGCTAGGTTAACGGTTGGACTCGATGATCTTAAGGGTCTTTTCCAACCTTAATGATTCTATGATTCTATGATTTAGGAAGGACTAATGTTTACTTGCACATAATTTTGCTCACAGCAAAACTTTGTGTCATTTTGATTTGACTACACAGTGAGATTGAGGAATTGTTTTGCAAGCTTTTAATGTTTACATAATTCAGCAAGAAAGTCCTTGAAGACCTAACAAGGATGACCTCAGGCTAGTTTTTTCTAATCCCCAAAAGCCACAGAATATCAGTTGTTGCCTGGACAAGGTTTCAGTTTTCTTCAAGTTTTTTATTTTCCAGTAACTTGTCGGTACATGTTCTTGGTCCAAATGTCTTGCAATCATGCAGCAGTTTTTCAGTTCTGTTCAGACAGCCAGCATCTGCAGAGCTGAGATTCATGTGCAGATAAGATACACATATTCAAAAGTCAAATAGTATATCATTGTAGTCCATGGAGCTGAGTAGTTTTTGTTCGTCTTTCAATGAAAAGTGCAGATTCCAACCTCTGAAATTTAACAATTAAAGTTAGCTGCATTAAATTGTAGGCAATATAACAAATTTAAAAAATTGTTGTTTTACATCTATCAAATGGTTTTACAATTTTCTTGCCATAATAATACTTGCCAATATAAATAAGTAAACACAACATTTAAATTAATTCTCTAATTGAATAAAATTTCTTGCTCAAAATGAAAGAATATTTTTGCTTTTTTGGAACTACCACTAAGTTAAAATATAGTTCTATAGTTCTACAGCTTATACAAATATCTAAACCTACAGATTTTTTGCAATCATTTCAAAAACAATGCTCAGCTGCTTGACCTTGTCTATTGTTTCAGTTTAACATGAAAGCTCATTTTGTTGGTGATGGAATTTTCTTCAGTTTAATTTTTTTGTTCTGTATTCCTTTATGTAAGAAATGTAAGGATTATCAAGTCTTATCTTTTGCAAGTCTTCTATATGACTAAATGCAAGATCTACATGCTCAAAAAGAAATAGTGAAAAAGAGGGCTAAAACTGTAACAGTATTACCTCCAAAACATTAATTTGTTGTCATTGTTAAAAAAAGTGGGAAATACAGAGGTTTTAATTATCAGGCTAAGATGACTTTCAACCACTTGACATTAAATTTTATTTGTTAAGGTTTTGTCATTGCACCATCTGCCTGATACACAGACCCAATGTTCTAGCTTAAAGATCAAAGCTAAAAAAAAGCCCCGAACCGGTATTTGTGAAAGGAGGGAAATGTATGTAAAAGATCAAACCTTCCGGGAAGTAAGGCTGATTATCAGCCCATTATTCATCTAATACAGGGATAGACTGAAAAAAATAGTTGAAAAAAAGTTACTATTAAAAATGGGTACTTGTCATTGCCTGCTGTACTTCCCTGCTTTTTTCATCAGCCCTATTAACTTTCAGAGAAGGCAGTAAAAGGGTAAACATTTTAAATTATTCCATTTTGTCTATTCAATCTCCTGTTGACCAAGGTTTAAAGAGAGTTACAGCGGTGTTAAGCATATCAGGGAGTGAACATCTGGTTCTGTGTTGTGCTGTCACCTGTATGTTTCTCTCCATATTGTAAGTTATTTCTTCCCCTATTTATTTACTGACTTTCAGCCTAAGTGCATTAGGCTTTTCTTGTGGTGCTTTGAAAATTTGCTGATGGGAGAGATGGTGTGGCGTGTGGGGAAGCACTGAGATATAAATTGCCTGGCAGGAAAAAAAAGGTCTTGGCACACAGCTTAGGCTATGAATGATTCATACTGAAGTTGGTTTTGGGAAGAAAAAGTAATTCTACCCAGACTGAAGAGATTGTCTCATTTTTATCAACAGAG